AATTACACATTGGATTTGTAAAATATAAAAAAAACAATGTTTGTACGTATCCCTTTAAGTTATCCTTTTAAACTTTCATTGTTTTCTATTCCTGGTTTTATTTTAATTGCGTTGTATTTTCTTATCTCTTCTGTTCTTCATTTACCTCTTACGGAGTTTATAAGAATTCTACATTTAATATCTAATACATACTACTTCTCTCTATGTTGTGAGTGCTACTTATATTGACATAAGTAGTATATAATACAGGTCAGAAATGTAATGTCTGGCAGCAGAAGATTGGGAAGATCAAGAAAGGAAGAGCGGGAATAGAAAGCAATTAGTAAAGAAATGCAAGAACAATGAAGTCCGAGACAATTATTGAACATTTTTGAAATTAGGTATTATAGTATGGTTTTGCTATTTTACCAAGTAACTCTGTAATGTTGTGTTAACTATAATTCGGTTGTCCTCACTTGTGTTCTCCTTCACTACAATCTATCCTATACAAATGGTACACACCAGAACATTATTATTCTATTTTAAGGGTTAAAGCCAATTAAATATTAGTTTGATGCTAATATTGTTTCTTAATACAACATTAGTTAGTAGTAGTTATCAGATTAAGATAAAACCTTGATGTAAATTGAAAATCTGTTAATTGAATTGTTTAAAAAAGAGCTATTCTTCTTTAATAACATTTTTAATTGAGAAATTCTAGATTTTTGTTTCTTGTATTCAAGACTATACATTACAGTGGAGGATTGTAAATTAAAAATTGGTAATGGTATTATTATCAGTGACTGGTTTTAGGAGGTATCTTCTGGAGTTCTAGTGAAAAGTCGTGATCATTGGAGTTCAATCAGGTCTGTTGTGAGATAGTAACTCATTGAAGATAATGGTGGAAGTGTCGCTCAATTTCATGAATTATTTTAGTTTAAACATCAACACCGCTGAATGCCAACTCAGTGGTCTAGAGGATAAGCGTTCGCGCACGAGACTGATAGGTCCTGTGTTCGAATCTCACGAGGTGGGATCGCGGATGCGCATTGCTGAGGAATCCCATACTAGGATAAAACGGCCGTCCAGTGCTTCTAGGTTTTCCATGGTGATCTAGTTTCAATTGACTGATGAATTCAACTATTAAATAACATTAAAAGTTGTGTATATAAAAAGAAATTATGGGGTCTGTTCAATGAATTCTCAATTAGTTACAAATTGACCAGAAAATGAAGAACGGAGAACCCAAGTACTCACTTACTTACTTACTTACCTTTTTAGGCCTGTTACCGCTCGTGGAGGAATATAGGCCACTCACCAGCATTGTCTATCCATGTGATATATCGTAATTCAAATGAAGCTTACAGTTATCAACATATTTACCACTTGGCATAAAGACCACAAAACTCCATAATATTATATAACCCGTCCCATCTGATATATAGTTAATGAGCAATAAGTATCTCATTTCCAAATCTTAAATGAATCATGAACCGAATTTACTAAATCTGTTCATTTATGAGTAGTGTTATGTTTTTTTTGAGCTAGAAGTTTTGATCTTTAAGTTTTCATTGTCTTTTCAGACAACATCTATAATAAATACCTCAAAAAGATGTGAACTATTAGAATTCTCCCAGTCTCACAATAGCCTGTTCTGTCTACATGGGACTAGATTGATTGTTTACTTACTTGTGTTGCTCCTGTTTGTATGTTATTTTAACTTTCATTTGATCTCTAAGGTAGTAGGTATTTGTCATTTCATTTTTATTGATTGGTAAATCATGTCTTATTTGATTTGTGAGTGAATTGAGGGATTTATTTTTACTCTACTCAATAGTTTGAATGTTTTCCTAATCAGATTCATATCACCAGTTGTTCACATCTTTTGATATAAGCGAACAAATGTCAATAGGATTTAACAGTTAGCTGATATTCTGAATTGTCGCAAGTATAAATTGCTTCAATAAGTAAATTACTCTGTTATAAATGTCTTTATCTCACAATGCACTTTTAGAAAAAGTATATTTATAAGGTTTAAGTTAAGCATTCAGATAATTGAACTATATCTTAAACTAGTCGAAGTTCATTGATTTCATCATAATACATTCATTATTCCATGTGGTCTGTGTCAGCCGCTGGTAAATAAGCTTCTTAAATGCCAGCCCAAACCATTTGTTTAAATGAGAAGACTTTATTGATTGGAACCAAATTGTGAACATACATACATACTCATCCATAAATATATATCTTTCTCCCTTAGGGAATACAGCTACATTTCAGACAATTTAATGTTCTCTTTATTTCAGAAAATGTAGTCGAACCTTGACCAATGGTGTGCGTTTGTATTTTGGTATATGTTTGATTAGCCTAGCTCGTCAATATTATAATTTTTTTTATTGAGTTCATGAAACGATTGATGTTAGATCACCATTGAAAACCTGGAAGCACTGGACGGCCGTTTCGTCCTATTGTGGGATTTCTCAGCAGTGCGCATCCACAACCCGTAAACTGATAATATTATAATTAATGAATGCATTTTGTTTTTACAACTGAACTATAAAGTTTTTTTTAGTGTACGGATTTCTTGTTCAAATGTGTTGATAATAAGTTTGAATCTTTGTAATAAGATCAATACTTATTGAAGTGGAAGTAGATTCAGCATGATCAAAATGTTTTTCCCATGAAAACTTATTTATCCCAAATTAGATTAGGCCTTTTGTTCTCTGAATCACTGTCATTTATCAATCAGTTATCTATAGTACACCTTGCATACTACTGAAATAAATGTAAACGAACATTGCTTCGTGGTACTATATTTTTTCAATAGTCGTTTCTAATCGTATTGCCCAATTTAATAATGAAACATTTGCCATGTAGAAAAGGCTAACAAGTAGAAAACTTTTTTGTGCCTTTCTATTCATACCTTTTAGGATCTAAATGTATAGGTTTAAGTTGGTGGCTATTGTTGGCAGGTCAAAATTCCTAAAAAGAAAAACTAATATTTCCATGTCCTAGTACTGTATGAATAAATCTAACGATGTAAAAACATATTTTCTCGATTCGAAGATTCTTTTGAGGAAAAGAACATTTAATGACTTGATACTTGAACACCTGACACTAACTTTACAATCCTTGTGAGTGATACCTTCCATACTTCTTATTTGAATCAACTATTTGATATATTACTTTCAGTGAAATCCAAAAAAGGCATTTCGTTATATAATAAATAGCAACAGAACAAACTACATCCTTTCATATCACCACTGCAATGCACGTATGTCCAGATGATAAACTCCAGATAAGATTGAATGAACCTCCGAGATTTCACCGCTTACTTTTATCTAACTACGATATCAAAATATCCATGATAAACTATTCATATTCATTAAAATAATTCATTTGTGTTGTATTTATTGAAATGACCATTTGGCTAATGGCAGACAGAACTTATTAAACACCTGTTTCATAATCTTAAAATTAAAAGATTAATCTTTTGTTCTTCTTCTTTTTCCTTACAAGGATGAGTTGCTTTGCTGTGTGTTTCAGCATTATAATTATTATCATGTGGTTAAATATTGACTTTATCATTTAATTTGTTACCCAGTGAATAAATTTTTATTAAATCTCTACATGTTTGGTTAGTGTAATTTTTCTAAAGTGAGTTAGTTTTCAATGGGATGAGGTCACTAACCCTATGCCCAACCCTCCTGCTTTATCCTGACATGGGATCAGCAATAACCTCAGAGTGGCTCCAGGTAGAGATAAATCTCTACACAATAATATAATTTTCTCAGGAGAAAATCTGAAAATAAGGTTTTACTTTTCAAAAAACATGTAGTAATACAATTAGTATTTCTTTACTTCAGAATGATAGAGTAATTCTTATTATTGACATTATATTTATACTTTGGATATCTGAACGAGTTCACTTATGTTGACAATGATTCAAACTTAATTTGTAATGATTTTGATAAAGATCTGTATAGCTATAAAATGTCCATCTTTTAAGTTGAATATTGTAATACAACTTATATGTAGAAAGAATTGAATATTTGATAGGTGTAAAACTTTCACTTTTACTATATTGATGACAACAATTAATCATTCGTTAAAATTACAAATATTCTTAACGCTATAGAAAGATATTTTTTTGGTTCTCGTTCTATATAGTGCAAGAAAAAAGTCATTCATTTTTGAATTTTGCACAAAACATTCAAAAGTGGATCCTAGCAACCCGGCTGACTCATCCCCCCTCACACTGTACTATTACCTCGATTATCATAAATTTTCTAAAGTAACCACTTCACTCCTCCTATATGCCCTGGTACGACCGAGAGTGGGGAGAGTCAACTCTCTCTTTCTCCAAATTCTCTCACATGGCCACGTGCATATAACCATTTACAGGGAAGATCTACTCACTGCATTCTCACGGCATTACTGTTGTTTATGAAATTGAGAGAACGAACAGCGAGTGTTCGGCACTTTAACCGGGTTGGTGGAAACGGAGAGTCCACCTAGAGTAGTTGGAAAACCCTGATTCAAAACCAATAGTGTACATGAGATTCAGGATCCTGAAGGAACAAATGGCGTATGAACCATATGTTGGTCACTGGCTACCATGAAACTGCATCTCCTGACATTGCTCCACTGTCTTATGCATCAGACGTTTATGTCAAAGGATCGGGACGTGACCCCCTAAGAAAATCACCCGCTTTGGTTTGCACACCCATGCAGTATCCCAGTCCTCACACAAATCGAATGATTTATGTGGCGCATATGTATTCGGTGACTCTTTTTACCAATATTCATTTGTTCAAATAAATAAATAAACCACTTCATTTTCAATCACTTTGAAGAAATTTACAACTATTAGGTTTGCTAGGGTCTTTTACAATCTATCGTCAATGTCCACTTAAAATTGTTTAGGTGAGACTATAATTTATGGACGACCTTTTAGCGACGCTGAAGTGACCTTGAGAGTGAACAACTTCTAATTAGGACTAAATGAGGGTTATAAAACAGTTAGAATTCGCATTTACAGTTGATGATTAGGTTTAGGAATTAGATTTAGGCTTTTCATCACGAACTGACATCAGTTATAATGCCAAAACTCTATTTAGCCAAACGTATGAATGAATTCCGCACCCAAATCAAATTTCTATCCTTTAACATGAAGAAAGTCGAATTTCAGTTTATCCATTTTTCAAAACTAATGAATTTTAATAACTTATGTATTTCTATTATTTTTTTTCTTCAGAAATCACCTATCTTATGGTTGTTTTAATCAGCTAATAAAGGAAACAATGTCATTTATTTGTAAAAAATCATCCTACTTATTATTCAATCTATTTTTCTATAATTTTATTCATATTTATAATGTTGTTAATTTTTCCGCTTCGGCTGTGCATCAAACGAATACCACAATGTATCTTACATCTGAATATGATTCTTCTCATTCACTTCACCTTCCACCATCACCTATTTCTTCTTCTTCTTCTTCTTCTTTGTCGTCGTCATCTTCGTCATCTACAGAACAAGATCAATTAAATTTATTCCATCTAATTGAAGAATCTCCAAATGGTACAGAGATTATTGGTGTATCTAAATATTTACATCAATATATTTCAGTTAGTTTACAACAGTTTCTTACAATGAATAATATAAAAATAGATGTCAGTAATAATAATTTCTTAAATAATGATAAGTTTCAATTTAATTTTCAATTACTCGATATACATGATCCTTTAACAAATGCATTACATTTAGATCCAATGAATGGTAAATTAACAATTCAAAAACGTATTGACCGTGAATCTATATGTAGCGGTGGTAGTGTAAACGGCAATGGTATCAACAATAACATTATGATTGGTAGTAGTAGTAGTAGTAGTAGTAGTCATAGTAGCAGTTCACAATTTCTATTGAATAATCGTCCATCAATGTTCTTACAAAATAATAATAATAATCCTATGAATAGGATATCAAGTAATTTAAATAAAAAATGTATTAAAACATTGAATATTTTATCAACAATACAAATAATAGAATTAAATGAAGTCAATATTAAAAAAATACCTATCAATTTATTGATTATCGATATAAATGATAATAAGCCAATATGGTTATCAATTAATAATGGAATCAATCATAATAATAATAATCATTATAATTATACTACTACTACTACTTCTAATGGTAATAATAATCATAATGATATACCAAATATCATTGTACAAATATCAGAGACACCAAATAATATACAAATAATACATGGAATAGATGATCATTCAACAAGTATAAAACAAAGATATCAACAATCACGAATCAATTTACCACGTGCTTATGATCCTGATGAAGGAATTAACAGTCAATTAACATATCATCTTCAATCAATAAAGAAATCATTAGATTATAAACATAATTATGATATTAATCAATCTAATAATCATAATGATGATGATATTCCATTTATAATAGAAGATATACCTAATAGACCATTAGAATTAATTTCAACTATAAATTTAGATTATGAATTAAAACAAAATTATGAATTTTATTTATTAGCTATAGATTCTGGTTTACCTAAACAAACTGGTACAGCATTAATTAAAATCAATATTATTGATATTAATGATCATTCACCAATATTTAATCAATCAATATATTATCCATTCAATCAATTTATTAGTGAAAAAACATTACCTGGTACAATTATCATAAATTTAACAGCAATAGATCAAGATGTATCCTACATAAATAATCGTATACATTATACAATGATTCCTGGTACATTAGCTATGAATTATTTTAATGTACAATCAAATGGTTTAATTATATTAAAACGTTGGTTAGATTATGAAACTATGGAAACAAGTACAATAGATAATCAAATTATATTAAATTCATTATTGTTTAATAAACCAACACAAACAACACCATTAAATAATAATAATAATAATAATAATAATAATAATATAGATATTAATACAAATCAAAACTATAAAAAACAATTTATATTTCAAGTGAAAGCTGTTGATTCTGCACCTCAACCATATGAACTTACTAGTACTGCTATAGTTATCATTCCTGTAATTGATGAGAATGATGAAGCACCAATTATAACTGTGAAATTTCTTGGTACATCAGAAATGACAAGTTATGGTGAAACAGGTAGATAAATGGTATTGTTAAGTTATAATATTCTTTTCATTACTTAACTACAAAATGGAGTTGATAAATTGTGAACCTCATCAAGTGATTATAAGGTTTGATTGATTTAGATAAGTATATTGTAAACGAGTTATAATTAACTGGTCACTAAATAGTGACCATTGTATTGTTTGTCTAGTCATTTGTTGCTGGCTGAATTCTATAGATTAAGATATAATATGGTTCCTAGTCTAATTCACTCAACAATGTATGGAGTTTGTTTTGATGCTGGATGGCTGAAGGTAATCATCAGAAAACCATGTAGTGCTAGTTGGTACCCGACCTCAAAGTGTACATGCATCTTAAAGGGAATGAGACTATATGATGGATTCGAACCAGGGTGAGGTTTTCAAATACTCACTGTTTAATCAAAATAGCTGTTTGTCCTTTAGGAGGTCAATTGCGGCTGAAATATCTCATTGGTAACGCCTCAGACTGAAATGAGATAATTTGGGCTAAAATCCGTCAGGGTACTAGTTCTCTCAACACATTAGGTGCAACATGTTGACGATCATTAACTGGAACAAAATCTAGGTATTACGTTTTCTATAGACTATGTTCAATAGTCTAACGCATAAATTACTGATGACACTAAATTGAATCAGAACAGAGACTATAGATGATGTGGTAATTTCTCACGTTTTTCAAGCTCCCTTCTCTAGTGTGATAACATTTCACTGTTTACATTCCTAATTACAATTATCCAGTTAACTGGTAATTAAACTCATTTTTTGAACTTGAAAATGCTCATCCACAATCTCGTGTACAGGTCTAGAATCTTCACCTTTTACAAGAAGTACATCAGTTAACGATATAGATGCTTACCTATAACGAAATGCAAGACAGGTACTCTAAAGTCTAGTGAAAATCTATGACCTGTGTAACTCATTAAAAAAATAGTGAAACGTTTGCTCTCCAGTGTAATCCAATGATATCTGTTCTATTTTTCTAGAATAAAAGAAGTTTATAAATCCGTAAATCCCAAGTCACCTATTGAACATTCACATTGTTCGGATCTTCAGTCAGATCTCATATGAGGTCAGTAGCCTTGTACTTTGTCTCAGTTCACAAAAATAATATTTAGTTTCTAACACCAAATGATTTATTGGTGAGCAAACTAACTCTCAACCTGATAAATCGGATATCATTACACTAAGTCTTTTTATTTTGTTAAATTCAAACAATGATACTCAATGTTAATTGATTCAGTATGTAAACAACGTTTACTATGTTCAAAGCTAACAACCAATTCTCATTGAATCTCATCTCTCTTCACTTATATTTTCTTTAAAATAAAGTCAGAGACAAAGTATTTGCATTGTATGATGTTTCTGATTTTGCTACGATGTTAACTGTCTATACAGAAAAATTGTGAACTTATTTACTCGTTTATGTTTAAGCCAACAAATAACGCTAGTCTTTATTACCAAAGGTTATATTTAATGCCTATTTTCGTGATTAGATAAACATCGACTGATCCTCCGTTATCTAAGTCAAAGACAGTGTCATTGATCACAACTAAAAAAGTATTGTTAGTATAGTATAGTATGAACCTTTTAAGATAGTTAAATACATCAGTCACTTCAAGTACATTATTTCTAACTAAAATTTATGGTGAAGGAGTAGGTTGAAAGAAAGCTAGGGGCGCCCAGACCAAAACATGGCACAAATCCATGAAGTCACTAATAAGTGAACTGAGCCATGTTGGTAGATGTAGACTACCTAGTTGGGATCCGCCAGGCGATAGTAACCGATGGTTAGAGACCTTTAATGACATGGCTCAAAATCGTTTTCAGTGGCGCAGGTGCATCCACTCTTTGTGTTCTCCCAAATTCTAATCTTCTGAATTCTTCATGTCCTTTGTTTTTCTCTTTCCAAATTTATTTCACTAGATTATACTCATTGAATAACATCTTCAAACCCTAATCTTTCCGATTACTGATTATACTTTTACTTCCTCTACTGTAGGAAGCAATTTCCTACAGGTGTAATTCTAAGCTATTCTCTAGACCGTCGAACACAGAGTCTTGGTTTAGCCAAAGTCAGAACAAGTAAGCTATTTGGCTTGATAAACTTTATCTGTTTCTAAAACATAAATTAACACCGTTAGTATACAGAAATAACATAGTGAATAGTAGCTAGAGGATAGGAAAAATGAGTCAACAAGGCAAATAATGTTTTATAATGAACATAAAATTGTGATTGGCGAAGAAACAAGACATAGTCATACAATGTCAAAGAAAGTTAATGTGGTGGTCGGCGTTTCACTTTATCATTGGTGAGTTCGTTTATCGATCACACCTTACATCTACCACTATGGGATTTGAACCGGCAAATGCATCTCTGTGCTAATATGGTATGGCAACTCGAACTGATGTACGTACATACGAAGTTCTACGTTGTTACTGACTGACTGACGGACTGACTGAAACTTTACACCCTTCAGAAGTAAGAATCATTTTACAATGATTTTTCAGCAAGTACAAAAACAAACAAACACTACACTGATTTAGATAAAAAGAAAAGACATCAAAATCAATATTATTCGTCTTCTATTTACAATCGTTATTTGAATTTCAGTAGTTTAGTATTAAGTATTTAAATTAAAATTCCATGTTTTAGTTTGATATAGAATTGGGATAACTATTATTATCTTGATTAAACTATGATATTTGGATTTACTTCAAGTAGATAGGTATATATATATATGAATATCAACTATATATCTTATTGTAGGCCACTACACATAGAATTTGGACATTTATATTTATACATTATTTAGTGAAAAAAAATTTTTCTTTTCAATAATTAATAATTTACTTTAATCGTCAAGGTCATGAGTCAATTGAAGCAAGATCACCATGGAAAACCTGAAAGCACTAGACGGCCATTTCATCCTATTGTGGGACTACTCAACAGTGCGCATCCACGATCCTACCTCGCGAGATTCCAACACAGGGCCTATCAGTATCGCACGCAAGCGCTTAATCACTAGACCACTGAGCCGGCCGATGCCCAACCATGTTAATATCTAAATTGAACTAATCCACGAAATTGAGAGACACATCCACCTTTGTCATCAGTTAGTTACTATCTCATAACTGACTCAGCTGAACTCCACTGGTTATCGCTTATCACTAGAACTCCATGAAATACCTTTTGAAGCCAGTCACTAGTGAGCAAATGTTAATTCATATCAGAAGGGATTTTTGTGAATATTATAGCGATTTTAATGATTGAGATCATGAGTCAATTGAAGTTAGATCACCATGGAAAACCTGAAAGCACTGGACGGGCATTACGTCCTATTGTGGGACTTCTCAGCAGTGTGCATCAGTTTATTTTTGTATTAACCAAATCAAATTCGAAGAAAAAATTACTACCTTCTTTTAATTTTTAGTTTATACCCAAAAAAACAGAGTAAATTCATTAGTTTTTGCTGTATGTTTCAGACTTTTCTGTAGTGTATACCTCGTTCATTTGATATTCATGTAAATAAGACACTTGCTGGTAAATAAATTGATCATGAATGTTGTTACAGGTATGAGGAAAGTTGTCACATCTAAGTTACCCAAATAATTGTAGGATACTTCTTGAAGTACGTGAAAAAGAAACCAGGTTGGGAGTGTTTTTGACAACCTAAGGGTGTGACCTTCAAGCACACGGGACAGATTATATACGGGCTTTTATTGATTAGTTCTTAATAAATTAGCTTTTAATTTAAAGGTCTTACTGCTTGAGATTGAAATCAACGGGACAAGGTGAGGGGTATTACATTTAAACCCAAAATTTTCCACAACACCCTCTTTTCGTTTGAGGTGGGCAGGGTCACAACAGATACTGATTTCATAGTAAATATACTATTATTCAATCATGGAAGGTTAAAGTCAATTGTTTTATATTACTTAACACATTAATCCATCAGATTATTTCAATTATATAAAGTAGATCAAATAATTAGTCAGTTAACTTTATTTTTATTACTCTAGGAGTTGTCAAAGAAAATGTTCAACCTCCTATTCAATTAGCCTATGTACAAGTTCGTGATCCAGATTTCGATGGAAATGATCAAGTTAATTGTATTTTAACAGACAATGTGAACTTTTCATTGAAGCCAATTAATTCACTGGATCAATTTCATCAAAACAATGATAATTATCATGAAATCAATAATCATTTAGATTTACAATCATCATCACAATCAATTTCAGCTACAAAAAATGATTATATTTTAAATTTAATTACTAAACCAGATCGTGAAAAAAATCCTTTATATTATGTACGTATCAAATGTATTGATCAAGCGTCTAATTTTAATGAACAAACTATTCGATTACGTGTATTAGATATGAATGATGAACAGCCAAGATTTCAAAAATCAATATATCGATTTGATCTACCAGAGAATAGTGATAAACAATTGAAACCATTAGGATATTATCGATTAGATAAAACAAGTAATACTTATTTAACAAATCAAACATCTACAATAAAAGAAATTGTAGATGAACGGAAAGAATATAAATCTGAAGGAATGGATGATCGTTATGAATATCGAATAGGTCGTGTACTAGCAGAAGATAATGATCAAGGTGAAAATGCACGTGTTGAATATTATTTAGATGAGTACTTTTTAGAAATACGATCATCAGTTAGTTCAGTTCTACCTTCAGCTTATTTATTGATTAATAAACAAACTAGAGTAGAAGATAAGAACTTATTTATTTATCATAATGAAAATAATAATAATAATGATAATAATAATAATAATAATAATAATGAACATACTCATGAACTAGTCAGAGTTGATCAATTATTCCGTATTGATTCACATACTGGTATATTATATGCATTGAAAAAATTTGATGGTGAAAATGTCGACATGTTTCGTTTTAATGTATTCGCTTTAGATCAACCAAATCAATTAACATCAATTCGACATAGTGGAACAGCTATAGTTGAAATCAAAATTACAGATGTTAATGATTGGCCACCATTATTTATATTAACAAATCAATCTAATATTAATAATACAGATACTACTACTACTAATAAGGATAATATAAGTAGTATGAAAAATAAACAACAATATTTTAATAATTTATTTAAAAATGAAAATTTTATTATTGATAATCATTATCAAAATGAATTACATTTTGTTAATAATTATGTATTTCATATAAAAGAGAATAAACCAGCTTATTGGTTAGTTGGACGAATTATGGCAATTGATTTAGATATTGAAAGTAAAGCAATGACATACAATAATAATAATAATAATAATAATAATAATAATAATAATAATAATAATAATAATAATAATAATAATATAAACAAGATATCTCCTCCATCTAAAACACCATTCATTTCATCATCTTTATCATATATTACATTAAGAATATCAAATGATTCACCATTAATAATACGTCGAACATTTAATTTACATGCTACAAATGGTTATTTAAGAACATCAATGACATTAGATCGTGAAAAACAAAATATTTATATATTTAATGTTATTGCTTATGATGGTAATCCATCTACTGTAACATCACAAACATCAACAGCTACAGTAACTGTAATTGTAGATGTAAGTAATATGAATGAATTTATTATATTAATGTATTCAGACAGATCTATTTTTTAGATGAATGAAAATATATATCACAATAATTAATCGTTTCATACTCAAGTGTCTAATATTTTGTACAAAGGTTATGAATAAGAAAAGTAAGGTGTATTTTAAATAAAGCTCCGCCTGAAGCCCCTCTGGGGCTACCGCCGGCCCCAAGCCTGATAAAGGAAGGGGGTTGGGCATGGGGTTAACAGCCCCATCTTGTAGAAAGCTAACTCGCTAAAAAAACGCTAACTAGAAAAAAATTGTTCAAACCACTTAAACTCTGCTCTGGGAGTCAGAAGGTCTTCATTTAGAAGAGTTATGACACCGCACGGTGAAAGCTGAGTTCCTTCGGAAGCTACGAGGTTGATGCTTCTTCTGACAACCAGAACAACCATTTATTTTGGCACGTGGAACGCTCGTACAGTTTGGGAGACCGGGAGAGTCTTTCGAATTGCTGCAGAATGGCATTTTAAATAGAATAAAATATATGAGGTTAGTGACACGGAAAGTCTGGACTGTTGTATTTCCTACCTAGAATTGTTTGTTCTAGGTTAGATCCTTAGTAAGGTGAATTTGTACTGTTGTGATAAGTGTTAGGTTGGTCAGTTGTTTCCACTTTAATTAAACCCTATATGTAATATAAATTATATAAAATAATAATTTCACTGATTGTTTGCCCAATGGTTGTTGGCCTCTTGTAAGAATCCAACATTCCGAATCTGTCGATTAGAATTGCGAAAGTCTAAACCAATGATTATATTTGTCATATATATAAACAACATGTGAAAAATAATAAATCACATAAAGTGTAATTTACTTGGTGTTGTTTTACATGTATCTTCCTATTGTTATTTAGGACTGCAATTGATCAGTCTCTTATTGGTATTTGTTCATTCTGTGCAGATTGCCTCGATATAACCTTAGGTCACAAGCTTTTTAAACAAAGATGGATAGTGACTAGCAGTGGAATCCGGTTTGACGCGCGTTTCGTCCTATTTGGGACTCGTCAATTGGATGTACCCGCATCGCAAAGTTGATGTTTACTCTACATAAAGTGGATTTTTGATAAAAATAGTTAACATATTAATATTAAATTTATGATAATTTTTAAATTGTGAATGACAAAACAATGACTGATGAGTAAAATAAAAACATACAATTGCGATTGCATAACGACATAATAAGTTAATCTAAAAATCAATTATCAAGGTTATAGTTTTTGATTGAGATCATGAACCGATTGATGTTAGACCATCACAATTGAAAACCTGGAAGCACTGGACGGCCGTTTCGGGATCGTGGATGCGCACTGCTGAGGAGTCCCACAATAGGACGAAACGGCCGTCCAGTGCTTCCAGGTTTTCAATTGTGATGGTCTAACATCAATCGGTTCATGATCTCAATCAAAAACTTAATAATCTCCACAACCCCTATACTAGTAATCAACATGTGCTCACTAGTGACTAGCTTCGTGAGGGAATTCTCGGAGTTCTAGTGAGAAGCCGTGACCAGTGGAGCTAATCCTTGTCGGGTAGAGACAGGAATCTACCTCAGTACAACGGAAGTTGGTTGCGCAATTTCGTGGATTGGTTGATGTTAGAAACTGTCACCACTGGATGCCGGCTCAGTGGTCCAGTTGGTTAAGCGTTCGCGCGCGAGACCGAAGGCCGTGGGTTCGAATCCCGCTCGCGGGATCGTGGATGCGCACTGCTGAGTAGTCCCACAATAGGACGAAACGGCCGTCCAGTGCTTCCAGGTTTCCAAAGGTGGTGATCTAACATCAATCGGTTCATGATCTCAATCAAAAACTTAATAATCTCCACAACCCCTATACTAGTTATCAAGGTTATAGTTGCATATATAAATATTTGTAATAGTTCTATTTAACTCATAGATGTGAATTGAAATATTTTTATTTGGCTTGAAAGTACATACTGTTTACTCGTATAAGCTTGATTAGATCTTGATTAAACATATCAAGCCATTAACTGATACTTAATATTGAGTTAAACATGATCCTTTAAGCTCCTGGCGCGAGACTGATACGTCCTGGGTTCAAATCTCGAGGGGTGCGGGATCGTGGATGCGCACTGCTGAGGAGTCCCATACTAGGACGAAACGGCCGTCCAGTGCTTCCAGGTTTTCCATGGTGGTCTAGCTTCAATTGACTCATGATTTCAATCAGTGAAATTTCTAAAAATCTCCACAAAACCCATTCTGATATTGACTAGTTGACCATAGTAAAAGGAAAGGTTGAACATATTTCTTTTGGATGTAAAACTCTGGCTTTCTGAACCGAATAACAATTACTTCAGCCGCCTGTAGGATTCGCAGTCTGACGGAATTAGGTAGACTGCTGTTAACACGATAGATTATTGCAAAAGATTAAATTTGTCCTTTTATACCATCTTATAATGAAGTGATTATTATAAGTAGGTTACTAAGATAGATACTAAAAGAAAATCATTATTACTCTAAATAGAATTTATATCCATTAAATAGAATAACACTAATTATACTAATAGTATTACAATAATAATTAACAGTTTAATGTAATTTATTTCTATTAACGATAAGATGATTGAAAAGAAAAAAAGAGAAAAAAAACGAAAAGAAAAAGAAAAACAATAAAATGTCTGATGAACTGTGTGTTTCATTATCTTCAATTATCATTTTTTTATTGTATATTATAGCTGAATTAAATCGATAATATTCTCAATAGTCTATGTATGAAATTCACTTGGTATTGTTTTACTTGCATCTTCTCATTGTTATTTAGGACTGTAATTGATCAGTCTCATGTTGACATATGTGTATCGTGTGAGGATTGCCTCGATATAGCCTTAAGTCATAAGCTTTTTAAGCAAAAATGAATAGTGGCTAGCAGTGGAATCTAAGATACGGGTCCCATCTTATATGGGACTCGTCAGCTGGATGCACCTGCATCCTAGAGTTGACGTTCGCTCCGGGGCTCGAACCCAGCACTGTTCACTGTTTGACGGCCTAATTATGAAGCTTTGATTATCAGTTTAGACAAAAGCGCTCGTGCGCGAGACTGATACGTCCTGAGTTCGAATCCTGCGAGGTAGGGTCGTGGATGCGCACTGATGAGGAGTGCCACAATAGGACGAAACGGCCATCCAGTGCTTCCAGGTTTTTTATGGTGGTCTAGTTTCAATTGACTCATGGTCTCAACTATTGAAATTAAAACAATCTGCACAAAACCCTTTCTGACAATATTACGAGTGATTACTTTAAATAGAAGTGCATTGCATAGAAACCTATTTCTTTTACAATGTATCTAGTGAAAATAGTCCATAACTGAATGAGAGACAAACACAAATATAACTAACTAGATTAAATATGGGAGATCATATTGTGCCCAAACACCATTCTATTAAAATCCTGTTTTGATTCCACTTGTTGACTGTTTTGTACTTGTTATGGTCATTTTCATATTCTTGATCATTGGTTGCATAACTAAACGACTTTATATTTCACATAATTAGTTATCGCGATCTCCTGATCCAGTAACTAGTGTAGGGTAGTAAACTAGTGTTAATATCTAGAGTGTAATGTCTAATCCAGGTAGTTTGAATAAGACACGTGATCTACCGTTGTAAACATATATGGCAAATCAATTTGCTTTTGAAAAAGAAACATCTAAAACTGACAATATTTAGCATGTCATTAAGAATCTTTGAATTTTGCTGACTTCAAACTTGTTGGGAAGTTATATTAACAAGATGTAATTATATTTCTGAAGAAATTTATTCTGTTCCAAATTTTATGGACGTAAGTACTATTTCGATTAACATCTTAAGATCAATTAATATAGAAGATTAATAATCTTATTATTATTACTGTCATGGAGTATTATTATTTTGTAAGAAAGAACAAATGAATGAACTTTGTTATTTTGGTAAAATTATGTTGTTTAATAATAAATATCAAAAGACAGATTATCTGTAATTTTGAATATTATGCAAACGTATTAAGTTATGCAATCAATTGGCTAATCACTAATGAACAAATAAGCAGTCGCTATGACAAATCTATCAACTAATTCTTTTACACAGGAATGTTATTTCATGAGACTATTTTGATCAAATCTATCCGAAATTATTTTAGTACGACCAAGGGTGTGGAAAGTCAGCTCTCACTCTCCAAATACTCTCACATGGTCCCGCGTATACAGTCACTGCCACGGAAGTCCTACTCACTGCATTCTCACGGTATTACTGTTGTTTATGAAATTGAGAGAATGAAAAGCGAATGTTTGGCACTTTAACCGGGTTGATGGAAACGGAGAGTCCACCCAGGGTAGTTGGAAAACCCTGATTCAAAACCAATAGTGTACATGAGATTCAGGATCCTGAAGGAACAAATGGACTATGAACCAATTATTGGTCACCGGCTATCGTGAGACTGAATCTCCTGACATTGCTCCACTGTCTTATGGGTCGGACCTTTATGTAGAAGGCTTGGGATGTGACCCCCTAAGAAAACCACCTGCTTCAGTTTGGGTACCCGGGAAGCATCACAGTTCACATATAAATCAAGTGACTTGTGTGGCGCATATGTATTCAATACCCCTTTGTACGAATATTTATGTATTCAAATAAATAAAATAAATAATTAGACAGACATATAAAAGTGTACTAGGTGTGTACCTATTTCAGATCGAATAGCACGTATACTTAAATAGGCTGACTAACTCAGATAAAGCGATAATCTGTAAGAAAGTATATACCTTTAGTTATCATTAATATGTCTTGCATGGATGAAGAGTGACATCATTAAATCATCGAATAAAGAAATTATCGATTTTTGGACCGACGTATTTCAACTATGGGTTTCAGTTTCAGTAAGTTTACTTAAAATAAATAATTTACGATGGATTCTGATAAGTCGATCAAAATACATTATCTCGAATAGTGTTATATTAAAGTTAATGAACCCTAATGACATAATAAATACTTTTAAGTATGACAAAAAATCATCTGGATGAAAGATTCACATATCTGACCATTCAGAAATGATGAGCTAGTGTGTATACAATGTATACTTATGTATGAATGTACAGTTGTAAAACTGAACTTAACTAAACGTATTCTATTTGTACTCTTATGTAGCTATGTATATATTTGTCTAGCCAAGTGTTCTTCATTTGTTTGTTAAATAAATCTATGTTTCCTCGCTTTCACTTAATTGGAATCATTTATTTTTGTTGCTTCCTTGTTGTTGTAGATACATCAACTAAACTTTAATTTATTCAGTATGGCAGAATTACCATATTCTTTCATACTGGTATGAAATGCATTATGGTTAAACATTTGATGTTTTATGAACGTCTTGTAATTATAGAAACTTTAAATGATCATCAGTTTAGGGTTTTTGGAGATTGTCAAGTTTTTGATTGAAATCATGAGTCAATTGAAGCTAGACCACCATGGAAAACCTGAAAGCACTGGATGGCCGTTTCGTCCTATTGTGGCACTCCTCATCAGTGCGCATCCACGACCCTGCCTCACAGGATTCGAACTCAGGACGTATCGGTCTCGCGCACGAGTGCTTTTGTCTAAACTGATAATCAAAGCTTCATAATTAGGCCTTCAAACTCACAAAAAATAACAAACAACAACAACATCATTATACGTCAATTATAAGATATAATTCATTTGAAATATAACAATACAGATATGATTCACTTATAAACTAACTATTAAAAACAAACAAACAAATGTAAATGTACATTCAACATGAAAGTGAATCATGTTTACTGAACAGATGTAGTTGATAATATAAAAAAAAATTAAAACAGACTAAATATATTTATTTATTTAAATAAAACATGTAACGCAAAATCTCAAACAAACCGCCAAATTTTTTTAAAAAAAATAAAATTGATAAATGAATACAAAATGTATGACATCATTCATGGATAAACTATAGAACATCTGTGAAAAGATTTTTTTCTAGAAGATTCTCACAAATTCTAGTAAATATCTATCGTCATTATTATATCCTTTTTTTGATTGAGTAATTGATGCCAATTCCTTTAAACAAAAATTTGAGATCTATGATATGTGATATATACTACTTATGTTAACAAATGTAAGTAGTGTCTAGGAACAGTCAGAATTGGAATGGTTATCAAAAGTATATTGACAAGAGAATGGGAAACAGTGAGTAATTTTTAATGACAATAGGAATGAAGGATTGATGAAGTTTATAAAAGACAACTGATGGAAGGTGTGTTAATAATCTATTTAATGTATGGTTTTCCTCATCAAGACCTTATCCGTAACATATTCTCTTATATTATTGTGTAAATATAATCTGGTAAATTGACAGTGTTATACCTACTAAAATTTCCTATGACATTGATATCGATCCTCATACATTTCAGTATGAATAATTTAAGAAAATAGCAACATTAATTCACTTGGTATTGTTTTACTTTAATCTTCCCATTGATGATGTTTAAGACTGCAATTGATCGGTCTCTTATTGGCATATGTGCATACTGTGCGTATGGACTCGATATTGCCTTAATTTGAAGCAAACGGTACTGGGTTTGAGTCTCAAAGTGAATATCAACACTGAGATGCAGGTACATCCAATTGGAAAGTCCCGAATAGGACGAGAAGCGCGTCAAACTGGATTCCACTGCTAGCCACTATCCATTTTTACATATGAACATTATAAGCAATACCTATTATCCACTACTCTTAGTAGTATCTCGTCTAATGAATGTTAAATTATAAAGATTTTCGTTTGTTCGGCAAGGTTCTTTTTTACGAGATAGAGTTGATAACCCCACACCCAACCCTCTTACTCTATACGGGCTCGGAACCGGCAGTAAACCTAGAAAACATGTAAGTAGAGTTAGCTTCTTACGAATAAATACATAGTTCAATATCTTGTACGTTATATTCTCTTGTTCATATTCAAGAACGAACTTGATCAGTTTTTTTCTGATCAGTCCCGAACTGAACGACACACATGTCTTGAATTCCACTGCTGACGAACACCAATGTACTTTAATTGATACGTATGTAAAAATTGCTTAAATGAGGCTTTTACAGCAGTTAATAAAACATGAATTCTCAATTATGTTTTAATAACACAGATATTTTACTTTTCTAAAGAGATTTCCTCCCCCTTAACAAGGCACTAAATAATAATTTACCAAAGATTCTGTAAATTTTGTTTGTCTTGTGTGCACTTTGCCTAATGAAGTAATTATTGAATACATTACTAAAAAGTTGTAATTACAGTCTATATATACGTCTTATTGATTAGTTCAACACTATGGGGGTATGCTTGTGGATTGAAGGGAAACGGTTAAAAAATAGGGAAGTGACGAAATGTAGGCTGTGCAGTCATGTATTTATCAACTGAAAAGATGGATGTTAGTGTTTATTACGGTTTAGTTTTCCTTCAAAATGAACCAGGATATTTATGACATCAGTGGATAATTATTTTATTGTATGTATGCGAATGATGGTAGCATTAATATTAGTTGTGTGGTCAACGAAGACATTTTTTGTGCAAAGTTAAATTCAGTGCCTTTGTAAAATATGAAAGTTATACATTAGATATATTATTCGTAGATCTTACTTCAGTTATTTATCATTCTTCTAATTCCGTTGTTATTCCTAGTGTGCTCAATTTTATTTTCTGTTCTCTTTATTTTAACCTTCTGCTGATAAGCATTCAACTTCCAATTCCTGCTACATACTACTTGTTTTAGTTGATTAAGTTTTAGTTCAAATTTATCGCCAGTTTATAAACACTTATTTCATTTTTTATTCATATTAGAAAATCTCCTATAACCATGTCTATATAAGGTGTGAGATTATCCATCCGTTTTACAATGTCCGATAAGTACACATTATCCCGCATTTTCGGGCATTTTTCAGTTCATTTAATGGGTGAATGGTTTACATATTAGTGCGATTTCTACTGATTTTATGTGTCTGAAGTTATCTAAATTCCAAAACGCTGGAGGAAAAATTAAAATATAGGGAAATTTTGGGCCTACATATCCCTGTCTGAAACAGAGGAACAATTGTATGTACGCCAATGACTTATTACCTTAGTTATATACCTTATCAATCACAGATTCCTAGTTGCTTCTCGGTCTTTTCACTTAAAAAGCTGATTGGGCAAGAGCATAGGGAACGTATGCTTCTGAATTGGATCCCGTAAATAGTAACAATCTGGATGACGAATAAATAATACTGACGATAAATATCATAGTACCTGGTGAAGGATTGTTGAGATAATTCATCGATAAATCTTAAGCGACCATAGGTATTTTGCTTAGTAATAATTCTGTGCACTGGAGAAACAGTTGCTCCTAATCTTGAACAAAACTGACACTACGTTAGGGATTTAAGCTCCTTTCATTATTATGATGTATAACGAGGTCAGTTACATTATTGGAGTATGATTGATAATCAATGGAATGATCTTTTGTTCCATATACTGATGTACTGTACTTATTGATTTATTATTTGGAATTTTTCCCCCTTTTCATTTTTTTCTTTTCCTTTCTAACATGAAATCTCCATAAGGATGAGAATGACAATGATCCTGTTTTTATTAGACCTGCTATTTCTACTACAACATTATCATCTAAATCAAAATCAACGTTAAACTCGATGAATAATGGACTTACAAACAATATTCATAAACCATATTCTATCAATTCACTAATTAATGATAAAAAAGAAAATGAATTACAAGCAAAACAGGATGATCATTTAAAAGTTAATTGGCCCGCCTCCCATAACGATCATAATAACAATGACAATAATCCATTAAAACAAATGAATCAATATGCCAATAATAACGATGATAATAATTTAATACAACAAACTATACAATTCAATCATAATGATAAATCAAATATACCAGTTGTATTAGTTCATAGAAGAGAAAAAACTAATGATTTCATTAATGGTGAAGGTAATTAAAATGCATTTTAATAATGAAAGTAGTTAAGTAAGGATATTTTTCCATCTCATTTAGATAGTAACTAATGTTACGTTTCCTTAGTTTGTTTTTAAGTACTTGATAGAGTTATACTGGTTAAGTCCATATCATACCAATGTAATTTTGCAATACAGATATTTTACAATTTACATAACGAACGGATCTTACTCAAAAAATCATTTAAATCTAACGAGAAATTGAAAACTGTTTCATTCTACTAAAGAGTTATTCAACTTCTTGTATTCATAATCAGATTGTGGATCGAATTTAAAAACATCAGATCTCTCAAAAAGCATTTAAGCTTTTAGACTATTAAACAAATATCCAATGGCTAATATGTGATACGTATGGTTATTGATAATATTACTTTATCAGAATAAGGTTGTGGAGATTGTTGAGTTTAGATTGATATGATGAATGGATCAATGTTAGACCACCATTGAGAACCTAGAAGCACTGAACGTCTTGGATCTAACGTGCGAACGAATAACCTGTAGACCACTGAGCCCATATCCAACCATGGTAATGTCTAACTTTTACCAGTCCACGATATTATGCGACCGTCCATCATTGTCTTCAGTCAATAACTGTCTCACAACAGACAAGGATTAGCTCCATTGGTCAGGGCTTCTCACCAGAACTCCTAGGATTCCCTCACGAAGCTGGTCACTAGTGAGTACATGATAATTATCTTTATGGGGTTGTAGAGATTGTTAAGGTTTTGATTGAGATCATGAGTCGACTGATGTTAGACCACCATTTAATAAGATTAAACAAAAGTTGAAAAATGTATATTGAGGAAATAAATATCCTTGAATTGGTTGCTTAAAGTGAACTATTTTTCATTTTGAACTGAATATACTGGTGTTTGTGGAGATTGTTGAATTTCATAGGTATCTATAATCAACTAAAGTAGATTAGATAGTCGTTGAGAACCAAGAAGTGCTGGATAACTGTTTCGTCCTACATGGTACTCCTCAGTATTAGGCATCTACGACCCTATCTGAGATCGAAATCATGACTTTCAGTCGCTACAGAGAGCGTTTGGTCTTTAGATTGCTGAACTAACTTCTGAAGGCCTGCGTTTTTATGTTCAATGAACTTTACTATACTACACAACCATTTCCTGATATCATTGGTGGGTAACTGCATTGCATACGACTTTGGTCCTCGATGGAGTTAAATTGGTACATTTCTGCAGAGTCCCGTACTACGCCGAAACAGATATCTAGTGTTTTCTGGTTGTAAAAGTTTATCAAACTGAGATCAGTTCGTGATGAATTATTTATTGAAATAATCAACGGCAATTTCAATGTTTTAACGCTGAATGATACTGAAGGTTAGTTTCAACAGATTGTGAATTTCTATTAGTTTGTGATGAAAACTATGTATATCACTCTGTTCATTAAACACCTTAATCAGTAATCTAACCCCATTATATCTCTAGGTGAAGCTTCCAGTTTAACCGAATCTAGACCACTGCTACAAATTGAAGCCACTGATGCTGATATTGATGAAAATGCTAAAATTACTTATGAAATTGGAGCTGGAAATACAGATAGTTTGTTTGTTTTGAATTCAGATACTGGGGTTCTGTCTTTATCGCCTAATCTCTATTCAAAATCTGATCATTTTATACAACCATTATCACAAAATACAAATCTGAATCAAAATCCTATAAATCCTATCACATATGTTCTACGTTTCGAAGCTTGTGATCACGGTTTACCGAAACGTTGTGCTTCACCGATTTGGGTACAGTTAGTAATTGATCCAAATGAATTTCCACATCTTGTTAGATTACCACATTTAACAAATCCTCTAGATCCATCTTTAGTTACTAACCATAAAAAATCAAATGATCCATCTTCTTCAGTAGATCAACAATTCATTGGTTACATGAAACAGTCTAATACAGCAATGTTACCTGGTCATGTTAATTCTAATTCAAATATTAACAATCATGACAATAATAACATTGATTTAAATAGAAAAACGAATGGTAATTTCCATGGACAAGAAAATTCTGTTAGTAATAATAAACGTTATCCACCAAAATTTACCCAATTTAAAAATATTTGGGATATGAAATCTTCACTAGATCATCAACCGTATGATAAAAATGTTAGAAATCAATACTCTTCAAGTTATCAACAGTTATCTGATTCAAAATTCAGAAAACATCCAGGTATAATGCAACAATATCCAAATGGACATGATGAAAACTATATAACTAATAATAATAATAATAATCATGGAAATAATCAATCTAATAGTTTTGTCATCAGTGAAGTTGCAGTAGTTTGCTTAATAATCGTATTTATTATTTTATTGATCGCTATAATGGTATTGATTTATTTGACTAGGCGGAAAACACTTTTATTACCAGTTCCTACTTCTAAATCCTACTTGAAAGGTGAGTTCAATTTGATATAGCTTTTACAATTGATTAATCACTGGGTGGTGATCAATCTCATGTGTGTCAAGTCCTTATTTAGTGTAGATCGAATGCTATCGACCATGTTGCCATGTGGCCACCAGTCTAGGTGATTCGACACTGTGGGCACTATATATTGAGATTAGATGGTGGTTGGAGGTAGTCAACAGGAAACCCTGAACCCGGGTTTCGCTACCTGGCACTCGTCAGTAAGGTGTACCTGTAATCTTGAGGGAACTGGTGCTTCCTGGCTGATTCGATCTCGTGTCACCCAGCTTCACAGTCGGAGATGTTACGACTGAGCTATCCGAGCCTCGGCCGACCTCCTGTAGGACTGAGATGTAATCACAATTGATTGATCACTGGGTGGCGATCAATGTCATGCATGTCTAGTCCTTATTAGTGCAGATCGAATGCTATCGATCATGTTGCAATTTGGCCACCAGTCTAGATTACAGGTACACCTTGCTGACGAGTGCCAAGTAGCACGAAACCCGGGTCCAGGGTTTCCTGTTGACTACCTCCAACCACCATCTAATCTTGATATAACTTTATTTATTACCTACTAACAGATAGGTTTTAGTAGTAAAATTACATTTGTTAAAATTATTGGCGTGTAAGGCATGTATATATCAATGAGATGACTTAATAGAAGATCACTTTCTATTTTCATTGTTCGTATAAGTTTACAAAATCAAATATCACTGTTCATATGTTTACAACCAAACTAAATGAGTATAAATTTATCGAAGAAGGTTTATAGTGTATATTAATAAGTGGTATCAACAATTCAGAATTCTGAATCCATGACTTTTGCCTAGTAGCCAAAAGATAACTTTATGACTATAGTAAATCAGTTGATGAAACTGATTTGGTCAGTAGTATGAAATGAATTACAAATTTGGGTGATTTTATTTACGAATACCTAAGTATGGGTTTAAAGAATTATTATGTCTTGATAATACTGCTTGCTGTTATGGTTTCCGGTTGGCCTAAAATACTTGCGTATTAAAAAGAAACTAATCTATTCCTATACGCATAGTTCTATCGGGGACTCTCTAACTACAGTTGACATACGACATTTCAACGATTAATCGCTAACATAAGAAGAAAATAAAGTGTAAGAAAAGCATAAGATTCATGTAGGACAACTTAAAATTAGTCACACAGAAAGTTAGCGTACTAAAAATAGTGATATCTAATTACAAAAGACCAAATGTCATCCAGAACACTGAGGTAGAAAGAAAATCAAATACCTTTTAGATTATTAGTAAATATTTAGCATTATCAACAACAAAATAACAAGTAATCTTTGATCTCCTTAGCAAACGTAATAAAAATGTCAAAGCATAGTTAACTTTATGCTCTTTGTCAAACTTAACTTCAATGGTCATTCTTGAGTTAACTCTTAACAAGAAACTGTGCTTACGTAACAATCTTTCGAGATCTTCTGTTCATTCTACAATGACTCCTGTTATTCTATTGCACTAGCTACATTTGAATTTTTTAAGCCTACCAGCACAAGCCTAACTTACGATTTTAAAGAAATGATAGGCATTAACTTCTAGTAAGTGGTTAATAGTAAATATCATAAAGACTGTCGTAAAATCCTTCCATAACTTCTATATGTTTACAAATCAGCTCTGAATGTAAGTACATCATTAAAAGTAAAATAACAATTATTTATAAACAGACTATATTGATACTTAATCATTCACTATTGACAAAACTAATGATAAACATATCCACTGAATTATTAGATCATACATATGGATCATTTCATTGTTTTGTTTACATTGATATCAACAATGATTTGTTTATATCATAGAGAGTAAATAAATCATCAATAAACACAAGCATATATCTAATAAATAGATCTTTTAAGAAGAGCGGGGGGGGGGAAGAAGAAACAAATAGCCAAGTTCTTTCTTTTCATAACTCATATATTTATTACTTGGTAACTTTCAAATCGTAAATAAAACAAACAGTTTGTTTATACATAAAAGTAATTGTTATTGTAGTTAAAAGAAAATAAAAAAATTTGACACAAACTTATAAACAGTTAGTTTTACAGATTGACTTAAGTTACAAGCATTATAAACAAAGATGAATAGTGAGTAACAGTGAAATCCGGTTTGATATGCGTTTCGTCTTATTTGGAACTCTTCATCTGGATGTACATCCATCCCACAATTGATGTTCACTCCGGGAGTGACTCGAACCCAGTACTGTTCGCTTTGAACGCCATTGAGTTATCCATTTAGCTACTGAGTTTTGATAGCCACTTGCTTGTGCAATAGGATAACGTGATGATATTTGAGGTAAACGGTACTGGGTTGAAGTCCCAGAGTGAAAATCAACTCTGAGATGCGGTACATCAAGCTGAAGAGTCCGAAATAGGACGAAACGCGCATCCTAACTTTCATTGCTAGCCACTATCCATCTTTACCATACTTATACTTTTAAGAAAAAACAACTATTTACTGATAGAATTTAACATTAGGTTATAATTATAAAATCATGTATTAACTTGTACGTAAGTCCCTCAATATTGAATAATTGATGAGAACACAGATTTTCACAAGTAAAATTATTTGAAAAAGATAAATAAGAATGATTACTAGATAACATTTTGTAGTTAATAAAATTTGTTAAAACCGAATTAAGTCCGATACGATAACTTGAGTAATACTTTATAACACTGATGAAAGTGAACACCTATATCGTCTTTAAGCGTTCGCGCGAGACTGAAATGCTTAAATGCTTAAATGAGTATTCTGGGTATTCAATCGTGGATGCGTACTTTTGAGGAGTCCCATACGAGAATGAAACACCGTCCAGTTGTTTGGAGTTTTTGATAGTGGTCTAACATTGGTGGGTTCATGATTTCAATGAAATTCAATTGAAAGTTAGACACATGTGATGAATAGGATAAGAAATGCACACATATGCGCTTACATAAAAACAGTCAAGGTTGATTAGCGAATAATTAACAAGGTCAAAATGTGACTAGATTGGCCTATCCGGAAGCTAGAATAAACTATGTAGGCTCGATATAGGGCCAGCCACTACAACTTAAATTAAGATGTTAAGGTGTTGGATGTAGCTGATAGGACCTCATTCTTGACGTAAGTTTTGTACTAGTTGGCACACGTCAGCAACTAATACCCATGAAGCCATGGTAACTAATGTTTTACTTAGATCCAAATCAGCTTCACCCTGTTTTATTGTTTGAAACGTTACTGTCTAACTATCCGAACTATGACTGACCTCCTGTAGGACAGAGAGATATTTACGAAATCTAATTGAACTCAATTGTTTTAAGTAAACACCTAAACTACATAACTTACATTATTTATTCTAACCAATAATTTAAATATTGTTTACTAAAGTCTACTCATCACATTTTTCTCTTAACTACTTATGATAATTAATTTTAGACGGTACCTTTAGATCGAATCCAAACAGTTGTAACTTAAAAAGTAATCAAGACAATAATGAAACAATATGTGCAGTAAGTTTGATTATTTTTAAATGATTATGGAAAACTTCTCTATTTTCAAATATGAATCAAGTTGATTATTAACTAATAGGTATTATGTAATACTTAGGAGTGATCAAATTGTTTCAACTCGACAAAATTGAATTATTAAAGTAGTAAGCTAATCTGATTCAATACAATGGATATTCTAACAATCAACTTTTATCCACATTGTCATTGTTGCGAATTAATAGTTTATAGTTTTGGTATGCCCAAAGCCGCCAATCAAATGCAGGGAATTATCGATCGGATCGAGGAAGCGTAAAACACGTGCGAGCAGCCTAGAGTCCTGATTGGTCCTGCTTCCCGTCTAGTCCAGCCAGTTAAGTCCAGAGCGCCAATCTCAGCCTCTGTAGTATGAATCGTTATATTTCAAACATACTGAGTTTGTATACCAACCAAACAGACCACAACGTAGCATAAAATAGAAAATAACATTTGTACAAAATATGGCCAAATGTGGCTGTGAATGTCGGAGGCAGTGACTAATAGACAGGGCATAGTTCAAGAATGGTAAATCGTATAATAATGGTTCATAGGTCAAAATAAAGCTTATAATAAGAGGAACATGAATATGAATAGTTTAGTTATTTGACAATTATACGATAAACATATACGTTTAGTATTGGTCCATAAAAGGATCTCAAAGTTGCCATTCATTATGTTTATCGGGACCTAACAGGTTTATAGTCAAAAGATGTATGTATATTGTTAAATTAATAAATAAAATGATCTTATTGATTGTTAATATGCAATTATACTATATGGCTGAGTGAAAACTGTTAATGTGATCAATAACAGACGATAAGACAGTTGGCCGGTAGAAAGCGTTTTTCTCCTAACAATTGGTCGATCAGTGGGTGGTGATCATTGTCATATATGTTAGGTCATTCTTAGTGCAGATCAAATCCTATCGACCAAGTTTCCTGTTGACTATCTCCAACCACCATCTTATATAATGCATCTATATATAAAATAATGATTTATTATTTATTTATTTATTTATTTATTTATTTGTTTTAACACATAGATATTGGTATAAGGAGGCACCAAATACATATACGCCACACAAATCTCATTTAATTTGTGTGAGGGCTGTGATACCGCCGGGGTGCCCAAACCGAAGCAGGTGGTTTACTTAGGGGGCCACAACCGGAGCCTTCGACTTAAAGGTCTGATCCATAAAGCAGTGGAGCAATGTCAGGAAATGCAGTCTCATGGTAGTCGGTGACCAATAATTGGTTCATACGCCATTTGTCCGTTCAGGATACTGGAGCCCATGTGCACCATTGGCTTGGAATGAGGGTTTTCCGAATTCCCTAGGTGGACTCTCCGTTTCCACCAACCCGATTAAAGCTCTGGACATTCGTTTTTCGTCCTCTCAATTTCGTAAACAACAGTAATGCCATGAGAATACAGTGAGCAGGACTTCCCTGGCAGAGGCTATATACGCGTGGCCATGCGAGAGCATTTCGAGAGGGAGAGCAGACTCGCCCCACTTTCGGCCGTACCAGGGCATTTGGGGGCAATCCACACCCACGGCATCTATATATAAAATAATGAACACAAGAATAAAAATGATAAGTTGTTTAACAGGTAAATGATTGGCGAGTATGGGAACTACAGGTTATTCACTTTCCTATGGAATAAATGTTCAGCTATTAGATTTAATTACTTCACTATCGTGTCGAAGCTAATAACTATTCTTTTTACTGACAATCAAAGCAAACATATTCATTTTCAGTAAATACATAATATCAGAAGGGGTTTTTGTGGATGTTGTAGTAATTTTATTAGTTGAGATCATGAGTCAAATGGAGCTAGACCACCATGGAAAACCTGGAAGCACTGGATGGTCATTTCGTTCTATTGTGGGACTCCTCAGCAGTGTGCATCCACGATCCCACCTCACATAATTTGAACCCTTGACCTATCGGTCTCACTCGAGAACATATTATGGATTAATTTATTTTTTTATCAGTTGATAACAGGTTTATTATTTTTATTAACTGTTCTTTGAAAGTTTTCGGTTACAGGCAAATCAACCATCCAAGTGTATATTGATATAAATAATCACTTATTAATTCATCTTTCTATAACACAAACAGAAATACAGTTATGAGAAATTTCTAAGATTATAAACTTTGTAGGTTTGTGTTTTCTCTGGGATATTTAAGACTGATAATTTTCAAACGATGAATTTTACAAAGTTAACGTTGTTCTTTTAGTACCATCGACATTCAACGTTATCTATAGCACTTTCATCAATTCGATCATGACTAAAAACTAATTTTTCATTTTATAGAACCACTAGAATGTTAAAGTGCTAATTGAAACAACTAAATAATCCCAGACGTCCTGATGAGAAAGCAGTAGTAGTGGAGTTCAACCAAATCGAGTATGAGGAAGTTATACAACAATGACGTTAGAAGATTAAATAATGTCATAAACCGATTGAAGTCAGACAACTACATACTCGAATGCTGAGTTAGTGGTCTAAAAGTTAAACGATCGAGCACGAGACCAAAAGTCATGTGTTTGATCTCTGGTATTATACTGGGACGAAATAATCGTTCAATACTTCTTGGTTTACTTACGTTATTTAGTCAAGATTAGTTCATGATATGACACAAGAGCAATCTCCCTATGGTAACTAATTGATAGTTTGGTGAATATTTCTATAGGCTTTAATCATTAAAAATAATATTCTTCCATAGTTCTTCTTCACTTTTTAGGTAAATCTTAACCGAAATTTGTAGTTGTTTTAAGACATGGACTGCTATGAAAAGTTTTTGAAATGATTCAACCGTCCATGTCTGATAATGGATTTACTAGATATTGATTTGTTGGTATTTCGTGAATTCAATGATAATTTCACTACACCATGATCTTATTGAGTAGTGAATTATTGCAAACTACTGAATTAACCACGTTCTAGGTAGTGAATTCGATGTATATATATATATATATATATATATATATATATATATATATATATATATATATATATATATATATATATATATCATTCGTTGATCTTTAATGCTATTATAAAAGTAAGCTTACTGCTTGTACTATAAATCTTTATTCTAAACAATGTCTATCCAATCAGAAGGCTTAATTTCATTAATTAATCTCGCGCGCGAGACTGATAGGCCCTGAGTTCGAATACCACGAGCGGGATTGTTGATGCGCACTTCTGAGGAGTCCCACAATGGGACGAAACGGCCATCCAGTGCTTCCAGGTTTTCTATGGTGGTCTAGCTTTAATTGACTCATGATCTTAACTATTGAAATTAATTTCCTGTTCACTGAAAAAAAACATTTTCATTCATTGTGTTCTTTTGAAAAATATAGCCGGTTGAACTGTCAAGAAACACTGCATCATTATATCGTGCAATTCCAGATAATATGATCAGTGCAACAGACATTACAATAAATTCTAATGAAATGTCATGTATTAACGATAGATCTATTGGCGCTACAGAGAAATCGATAACTTTATCCACTGAAATGCTTCAAAATCCACATGGTAAGTGTTATCCTTTTAGACATCTTTTAAACTTATACATTTAGGTCTAATTTAAATTATTATAAAAGTGTTACAACACCTTGTAGAGTTGTATTATGCGTTGCATTATGTAGCGAAATCAAGCTCTTTGTATTGGTAACATATGATTTTCAATCAGGTCATTTCTGTTCATTGAAATGAAACTAGATTTGTTTGGAATCATCAGTTATATTTAGTGACTGTGTAGTATTCTGTCGTTTGATTCAGTTCCCAAAGTATACCAAACCCATCATGAGAATAAAAAGACTGAAATATGTAGTAATACTGAATTAACTAACCAAACTATAGTACATATAAATCACATGTGTTTATGCAACTGTTTTTCTGACAAAAACAATGATATGTCGACAGAGACTTCAAGTAGGGACATAACCAATTTTGTTTCAATAGCACACCTCATTTGAAAATTTTTACTTGCCGCTTGACTCTGATATGGTATGTAAGCACATGAATGTGTTGTTTCTATACTCGACCGTTCTAGCGCGCTAATAATAGTCCCAACTTCTTATCAGCCTTCAATTGTTAAGCAAAAGCATACTATATGATTCCTAGTGTTACTCGAGTTCTGTTGATTGACTCTGCAGTGTGGTCATCAAAGTGACTCATTATGAGATTTTAATTCTTCTAATGTTAATTCGTCGGAGACAGCTGTCATGAGGACGTAAGTTTAAACTTTATGATAATAATTAATTAGGAAAACATATCCATGCTCTCAAGAGAACTTAAATATCATCAAAGATTCGGAAAGTTCATCGATCTATGCTTCAACCAGGTACGTTACCACCGAACTGTAGAGGTGACATTTGTACAATGATAATCTATACACTAGTCGTTCACCCAAAATGAATGAAAAAGTAACATGATATGAAGATAAGGAACTTATTGAAGTTTTCTGTAACTAAAAATTAATTCGCATCATTGGTTGATATTAACTGGATGATGTTAGTGTAGTAATGAAAATCAACTATAAATATAACTGTTATTCATTAGGTTCAACTCAACTGTTCACAACAACATAGTTATTGACTTCGTGTTTCTTGGGAGACTGAAAAGAAGATCTTAATAATTTTTGATTTTCGACCTATTTCCAACTTATTTTACTCCATAATGAAGAGTAAAATTTCGATATGAATATCAAATAATTTCATCCTACTTTAAACGCATTAATCATAGACGATAAAGGCAGTGATTTATAAAACATGTATCTTAAATTCCTCTTCTAGTCACTATATATTGAAATTAGATGGTGGTTGGAGGTAGTCAACAGGAAACCCTGGACCCGGGTTTCGCTACCTGGCACTCGTCAGCAAGGTGTACCTGTAATCTTGTGGGAACTGGTGCTCCCTGGCTGATTCGATCCCGTGTCACTCAGCTTCACAGTCAGAGACATTACCACTGAGCTATCCGGGCCGCGACTGGCCTCCTGTAGGACTGAGATGTAATCACAATTGATTGATCACTGAATAAGGATTTGACACACATGACATTGATCACCACACAGTGATCAATCAATTGTGATTACTTCTAGTCACTATCCAACTTTAATTTTTAAAAAATTCCTAACTAAATAATCATATCAACGTAAGCTGTTTAGGATGTATATTTACCAATAGAAATTGATCATTATCAGAAGGGGTTTTGTGGAGATTTTAATAATTTCAATAGTGGAAATCATGAGACAATTGAAACTAGACCACCATGCAAAACATGTAAGCAATAGATGGCGGTTTGATTAATTACAGATCTTAACACTAAGAACAAGAAAATATAAACCCTGACAAATAATATGTCTTATTAGATCTTTTGTGTAGAATACAAACGAGAGTAAAATCTTTTATGCACAACCAATGAGTTCTCTCTTTCATCTAGATAAATATCTATCAACACTTAAAACTATGAATAGAATAATACTGTGTTCCCTCTCTACTTCTTTTTGTTTTCTAAATGTTTATGTTAAAAGTTATTTTCAGAAGGGGTTTTTTGGAGATTTCAGAAATTTCACTGGTTGAAATCATGAGCCAATTGAAGCTAGACCACCATAAAAAACCTGGAAGCACTGGACGACCGTTTCGTCCTAGTGTGGGACTCCTCAGCAGTGCGCATCCGCGATCTCGCTCCTCGCAAGGTTCGAACCCAGGACCTATCAGTCTCGCACCAGGCGCTTAACCAAATAAACCACTGACCCGGTTCAAATATCACGAGGAGCGAGATCGTGGATGAGCACTGCTGAGGAGTCCCATACTAGGACGAAACGGTCGTCCAGTGCTTCCAGGTTTTCCATGGTGGTCTTAGTTCAATTGACTCATGATTTCAACCAGCAAAAGTTATTTATTTATTTATACAGTGACCATGTGAAATGTAAAAGTTTTAGTCAAATTTTAATAGAAAATTCTGTTACAAAAACATACACATTTATGTAACCATAGAAAACAAGAAGGAAAAAAACACGGGCGATGAAATTCTAAAATCAATTAGCAACATGTCATAAATCCATTATTCATAAAATTAGAATTCAGTAGTAATGAAAACACATTAATCAGTAGTAATGATGATAATAATAATAAATAATATTAACCTTTACCACAAAACTCTTTTATTTCATTCCATTTCATAATACTTATAAATGACAGATGATTTAAATTCATTTGGTGTTGTTTTACTTGTGTCTTCCGATTGTTGTTTAGGACTACAATTGATCAGTCTCTTATTGGCATTTGTTCATTCTGTGCAGATTGCCTCGATATAAGTCACAAGCTTTTTAAGCAAAGATGGATAGTAGTTAGCAGTGGAATCCAGTTTGACGTGCGTTTCGTCCTACTTGGGACTCACCAGCTGGATGCACATGCATCTCACAATCGATGTTCACTCCGGGAGTGACTCGAACCCAGTACCGTTGGCTTCAAACACCATCGTGCTATTCACTTCGCTACTAAGTCCTGATAGCCACCTGCTTGTGCGATGGGGTGAAGTTTAAATTCACTTGGTGTTGTTTTACTTATATCTGCCGATTGTCATTTAAGACTTCAATTGATCAGTCTCATGTTGGCATATGTGTATCGTGTGAGGATTGCCTCGATATAGCCTTAAGTCCCAAGCTTTTTAAGCAAAGATGGATAGTGCAACAACATCAACTCTTAGATGCGGGTACATCCAGCTGATGAGTCCCAAATAAGACGAAACTGGATTCCACTGCTAGACACTATCCATCTTTGCTTAGAACAGATGATTTAATTCTAAAATGTTTTCTGATACATATGTATATATTACTTAAATAGATATGATAAAGGGGGAAGAGTTTAAGTGACACTTTAAACTACTTGGACAAATTTTTGACCTTGTTTTAATCAATTAGAATACAGATTTAATATTTTTGTTGTTTGCAAATTAAGGATTTAGTAGTGGGATTAAGTTTTAAAATTTAAGGGGCGAGACTATAATTTATGGACGAACTAATCAGATTTACGATAACCGGTCTTATATTTTAGCGCGAAATTCATTCATCCATTTGGTTAAATCGGGTCTTGGCATTAAATCTAATTCCTAACCCTAACCATCAACTGTAAATCATAATCCTTATTCTTCAAACTGCTTTATAACCCTCATTTAGTCCTAGTAAGTAGGCACTCTCAAGGTTATTTTAGCGTCGCTCAAAGGTCATCCATAAATTATAGTCTCTCCATTTAAGGTTATCAGTTAAGATTTCAAGTTTAAGATTAGGATATGATTTCAAAGTTCTTTTATGTGTAACTTAATCCCTTTATTTTATTCTTAAATTCTAATATTTAACTCCAATCCTAAACTATATAAATTCTAATCTTAAAGCCTCAATCTTCTATTTAATCTTAATCTTATGTAAGTTGCTCTTACGTCTTCGTTATAGAAACTAGTCGTCAACTTTTGTTGGACAATTTTCTGTTTTATATAGCAAAGTGAATTTATTCATTTAAAATTATACAATTCATTTACAAGTAACTAGCCTGGAGATGGATTTCCAGAAATTCTTCTAAGGAGTTGCAAACTGAAGTTAAATGGTTATCTATAGGCTATATCAACTGAATATTACTCTACATCATAAATTGATTTGGTATGAAATTATAGATCATTGTATTTTAACTTCCTAATGGTTATGAAATGTGTTCTTGGTGTGGGGGGTTTGAGGAGCTACTGACCAATAACAGACAACTAGGTTTTCAGTAGTTCTTCAGTTGTTTTTAGTTCATGATAACGGTTATCTCTAAGCTGTTTAACTTTCTAAGAGATAAGAAAGAACAACGGGTTCTGTGAAGATTCTTCACGGAATCATCTCAGTTGTAGTAATGTTGAAAACCAGAAAGCATTGAACATTGTTTCATTCTAGTATGTGACCCCTCGGCAGTGCATACCTAATACTCCACCAAGGATTGAGCCTCGGGCCTTCAATTCGAAAAGTACTGGGGTCGAGTCTTATTACGAAAACCAGCACTGAAATTCAGGTACACCCAGCTGACTAGTCATAAATAAAAAGAAATTCACATCCTGAATACCATCTCTGGTTACTTCTAACTTTAACAAATGAAAACCTAGGTAATCCACTCTGGGGACTGGTCACCTGCAGTCCTCCATGTCAACAACAGAAAAACATAAGCGCATAAAAATACAAATTGTTTGTATTGTCTAAAGTATTCCCGGATAGTCAAAAATATCTGATATTTCGACGTTTTAGGACTAAGTCATATTTTAAATGATTTTATCATTGAAGCTTGAAAAGTATGTCGATAAACACTGATTGCCCAAAATTCTTGGGACACATAGTACTTAAACACTTACTTACTTATGGCTGTTATCCCTCATGGAGAAGCATAGACCAGCCACTAGCATTCTCCATCCAACTCTGTGCTGGACAATCGTTTCCAGTTGTTTTCATTTTTTTGATGTCTGATTCCAATTCTCGACGCATTTTGTTCATTGGCCCTCCTCTTTTCCGTTTCTGTTCAGCATTCCAAGCTATCGCTTGCCTCGTGATGCAGTTTGATGATTTGCGTAATGTATGTCCTACCCATTTCCAATGTATTTCCTAATTTTCTCTACAGTTCGAAGCTGGTTTGTTCTCTGCCACAGTAGACTGTTGCTGATAATATCCGGCCAATGGTTGTTGAGTATCTTGCGTAGACAACTGTTTATAAATACTTGTACCTTCTTGATGATGGTTGTGGTAGTTCCGTACAGTCGAACTCACTGTCTTGACGTTAGTATTGAAGCTCGTGGCTTTGTTATTGATTGACAGTTGTTTTGACTTCTATATGTTCTTCAACCGTAGGAATGGGGCCCTTGCTTTGCCAATCCACGCCTTCACGTCTGCATCTGAACCTCCTTGTTCATCGATGATGCTGTCTAGTTGCATGAAATTTTCCAGTTCTTCCAGATTTTCTCCCTCAAGTATGATTGAGTTGGTGTTCTCTGTGTTGTATTTGAGGATCTTGCTTTTTCCCTTATATATGTTGAGACCCACTGATGCAGAGACTTCTGCCACAATGATTGTCCTGACCCGCATTTGTTCGTGTGTATGTAAGAGAAGGACCAGGATATCTACGAAGTTCGAATCGTCCAGTTGCAACCATGCTGTCCATTGTATTTCTTGCTTCTTCTCTGCTGTAGAGGTCTTCATAATCCAGTCAACAACCAGAAGGAAAAGGAAGGGGGAGAGTAAGTGGCGTTTTCTGACTCTGGTACTCACTTGGAATGCATCTGTCGGCGGTTTTCCATGCACGACTTTGTAGTGCAGCACGTCGTAGGAATTCCATATGATTTTGACGATCTTTTCAGCTACTCAGTCTATAGTTTCAGAGAAGGTTCCGCGAGGTTCTCCTATCCACGCTGTCAATTTCTTTCTTATAGTCAAGGAAGCTGATGTATGGTGACGAGTTCCATTCGATTGATTGTTCAACGATGATCCCTTGTGTCGCCATTTATTCTGTGCACGACCTATCCTTACGGAATTCGGTTTGTCGAAACTGGGTATCTACTGAAAAGATCACGAGTTTACCTAATCTGAGAACAAAACGAAGACTCTATGACACAGTGACAGATAAACTAGCTATTCCGACGCGTCCCAGCCTAGCTAACTAGAGAGAGAAATCTAAATTCGGAAGAGGGAAATATATTTCACAAGAAGCAAGAACAACTACGACAAGTCTAGTCGAAAATACACTCATTTATATATTGATTCATGCAGCCATTTTCGACTGATAATTAGGATGAAATCACATATATGATAAATATTTAAGGTTATAACAAATCATATGCTGAGTATATTTCATGTTAATTTAATACAGGAATACCGCATGTTATACAGAAAAACAAAACAAATACTACATTGAGGAATCAATAGATTGAATTAAAAAAGACGGAATTCATGTTGAATAAAAATCATGATGAGTAAATCAGTCTAGTTTTGACTTTTCATCCTGTCGTGTCAAATCTTTCATCCGGCTCAGCAACACTGTTGAAAACTTTTCCTGGTACCGATAGGAACGTGATTTCTCTGTAGTTCTGTAGTCTGATGTCCATCCTGAATTTTTCGATCGTTGGTGGAGTGACATCTATAGGAAAATCTGTAGGTGCTGTTTCGATTTCCGGTGGATTCGATGTGTTCCACCTTTCTGTTCTTGAATCTCAGTGATTAGCTTGCGTCCTTTGTCCTTGACCGGTTTCTCTGACTTACAATATTTCCCTGTCAGTTTCTTTGTCGTGTCATATAGTTGTTTCATATTTCCTTCTTTTGCAGTTTTTTCCGCTGTTGTTGCTAGCTCATCCACGTATTTCTGCTTGTCGACTCTAATACTCTTCTTCACTTGCTTGTTTGCTTCTGTGTATTCAGCTTGTGCCTTGACTTTCTCTGTTCTTGTTTGGCTGTTGTTAATTCTTGTCTTCATGTTCTTCTTTTCTTGAATCTTGTTCAGGGTTTTGATAGAGATCCATTCTTTATGTTGGTGCTTCTTGAGACCCAGAACCTCCTGACACTTTGAAGTTACTGCTTCTTCAATCTTATTCTGGTTGTCTTCCATAGTACTTTCATCTTTAACTAGATCCTGTAAGGCTTGGAAACTGTTGTTGAGAATTATCTTGAATTCGTTGAGTTTGTTAGTATGTTGGAGGAAGGTTGTATTGAACCGTTGCAGTGCTGTTTCTCCAGCTGCCCATTGGTTCATTAGCTTCAGTTTCATCTTGGCCACAATCAGGTGGTGATCTGAAGATGTTAGCTCCTCTCCTGGTTCCAATATCTTCCATTGTCCTTCTGAATTTTTTTACTTGGTGCAAACATGATCTATCTGATTCTCTGTAGTGTAATCCAGTGAAATCTACGTAGCTTCTTCATGATCAGAGTACAGCAACATGTCTCCTGAATCTGTCCTTTTCTGTCCGTCTTGGGTCCGATGGATTTCATTGATTCCGAGAACCGTTAACTTGTATCACCCCATTTGCGTAACTATTTGATTGGTCCTCGCAGTCTACCACATCGTCCAGACATTCCATGTGCATATATTAATTGTTGGTCTGCTTATTAGAAGGGACATCGGCCTCGTGACTTCCTAAGAATCTCGTATTTCGCCTTGAAACGTGGGAATTCTCGTGAATGACGATCCTTCTACTCGGAGAGCAGAATTGAAATGGTTTTGGTTGTTTTTTCTGGTTAGCGTTTTCTAATCAAGGTTGTTTTTTAAGAGGTGAGGTTGTTGATCGCATGCCAAACCCTCCTACTTTACCAGGGCTTCGGACAGGCAGTAACACTAAAAGGGGTACAGTCGCTTTAAATACTTAGTATCGACTTTCTAACGGCTGTTTGGTCAACCGGAATCATTTACATTTGAACCCAGACTAGAAGTTCAAAGGCAAGAAGCATGAAAAGACGCTTAAATCCGAAGGTTAGTTTAGATTCAGATATCAAAGATATTAAAAGGTTCATGGTTGTATGTGATATTCCGGAAGCTCCTAGAAACTTGTTCAATTTACTAAGACGACTAGGAATTACCCACTGTTTTTTCTAGAACCCTTTGGGGAGTTTCTGTTGAACGCTTATTGAACGAAATATTTTCAAGCATCTTTCAGTTCCTAAAGATTCTTTTGAAGAATTGGCGTAGACTCTCAAAAGTTTTATTAAAGGAATACCTATGCAAATCCTGATAAGTTGAGAGAGTTCGAGTACTTTCAATCGCTGTTATTATTCAAAGGTATATCGATCAGTATCTGTATATATTATGACTTTTGAAAAACAAAACAATGCTCTACTATATTGTACTTGAGCATGTTGATTTTTACAGTGGTTAGCCTATATATCAAAATATGTTGTTTACTTTTCAGTATTTTGAACAAATTCAGTACTATCATGGAAACTGACAAGTAACATGTTGTTCAATGATGTAGTTCATTTTTATGCGATGTAGTTGACTGACCAAGAGTTTATTCAAGGCAACATAAATTTGTTGTTTACATTGAGTTGCTTTTTCATATAAAATCGGTAGCGATTTTGAAGTCAAGCGACACATCGTGTCTGAAAAACATTAACTAATTATTTGTTCAAAAAATAATTTCAATGGTTGAGATCATGAGTCAGTTGGAGGTAGACCACCGTGGAAAATCTGGAAGCACTGGATGGCCGTTTTGTGCTATTGTGGGACTCCTCAGCAGGTCTAGCTTCAAGTGATCCATGATCTAAACCATTGAACTTACTATAATGTCCACAAAACCCCTTCTGATGAGAAATAATTAGCAATCAGTATTATGTGTAACATTTTTCGGTTACCTTTTCTTTCAGATTCTTACCCTCTTATTCAAAGAAATTCTGAACCTCGATTTCTATTTAATACCACATTGAATAGACCAACACATCAATCTGCTTTGGTTACATCGGAATTACAGAGCAATCTAAATAAATGCACATATAACCCACAGTGTGTACAACATCCAATTAATTCACGTTTCGATGTCGATAACGAATATCAATGTTTAGCTCCAACAGTTGATAATAGAATATCACATATTTCACGTTGTTTAACTCCATTTTTTGACCAAGGGTCACATCAAACTATCCAGAATGTTGAAGCCATCGGCTTAAACCATATAGGCACTAATAATCGTAATTGGTTACCAATGAGTCTACAACAACTGAATTCTCCAGTGAGTATGAGTCACCAGTCAATCATTTATACAGAATCAACAATGAATAATGAAGGACGTGAACAAATGTCATCTAAAACGCCTACATTAATCTATGCTATGTCACCTAATCCGAATAGACATCCAATGCATTTTCGAGGTAATTCGCTACCAGTTTATCCCATAAATCAATTACAAAATCCCACAAATTTAAGATCATTTCAGCATCGCTTCAAACCACAACAGCAGGAACATCGAAACCAACAACATCCGCTTTCTTCTTACCAGGATATTTCATTACTACAAGCAACATTAAGACGACACAATCATCAATCAATTGTCATGAATACTGACCCAAATCCTATGCTAACTTATCATCATCATGATAAAAATCGGTTGATTTGTTCAAGGGATCAGATTCATTATAAAACATTTCATGCCCCACAACATCATGATGATCTTCTTATATCTCCTAGAATAATATATACGGATAATTTAAAGATATGTTTACCAAACAAAACTAAACACCACCATCACCACCACCGTCATCATCAATCACCTTTACCATTAGAAGATGAACAAGAATGTCAACAATTATTAGTAAAAAATCAAGATGATATTAGTAAAGATAATGATCATATTTGTGATGAGAATGTCATATCAGGCAATTATGAACCATCAAATAACACTGACAATAATACTATCAATAATGATAGTATTAATACACCAATAACCGTAGATCATTTAGAGGAATTACCGATTTATGTTAAATCTAAGAATTCAACTATACCTTTAAATAATAATATCAATATGTCTATTGATAATGAAACGGATTATATTGATAATCTTATCTGTAATGATCAAATTAAAAATGGAACATTTCATCATTCATTTCAATATTCACCAACTATAACTAGTTCATTACCATTGATCGTTGATATTAATAATAATCATGATCATCCTCAGCATCTTCATCATCTTCATCATGATAATCAAATGACCGATAATTCAATTCATTCAAAGGAAATGATCAAATCAGAACATTATGGATTATCAAAATCGGATGTAGGCAAATATACTTATAAAACAATTAGAGAAGCTAGTTTTGTTTAAAATAAAACAATGTTGAATAAGAACAGTGTTTTTTTTTAAAGAAAAAAAAAAGGATAAACACTTAAATACGTTTGTATATTCCCTTTTTTTTCTTTTGTTTCTTATTCAAATGTACATTGTAACTTGTTATTATCATTTCATAATGGATTATCTATCCAATAGGAATCGAAGTAAAGTTTAAAGAAGTTTACTGTGTTATTGAATATGTTCAATAATCAGTAATGATAACAATATTGATGTTTATTTAGATAATAATTATTTTTTAATTTCGTAAAATTATCATTGAAATTGAAATACTTTTGAATGAAAAGAATAAAAGATTACTCTTACCGTTATAATGATGATGTATATTGGATTCAACGAAAAGAAGGGGGATGGGTTTGTAAAGATCATAGTAATTGAATAGTGGCATTCATGAGTCAATTAAAACTAGATCACTATAAAAAAAAACCTGAAAGCACTAAATGGCCATTTCGTCCTAGTATGGGACTCTTCAGTAGTGTGCATTTATGATCCGGCTCATGGGATATGATGAGTTTCATATTAAGACGACAGAGTCGTCCAGTGATTCCAGATTTTTCATGGTGGTCTAGTTTTCATTAACTCATGAAAAGATATTACTTCCATGATTGTATACGTTCTTTTTAATCTTCTCAGATAAAAAAAAAGCATTGAGAAAAAACGTTTAATTAACAAGAACAAATTATTCTACCATCATAGACAGGAAATGACGGTGTGGAAAGGAAACCACCAGTAATACATTCTTTATGAACTAGTTTTTTATGTCATACATAAAGCAGAAAGCTTCTGTTTTACTGGTTTTTATGCAATTTTAACTTTCAACCAAATCATTATATCTAACCAACAGAGTAGAAATACATAATGTGCTACGATTTCTATGTGTGACATCTTCATATCATCATCATATAACCTAATCTTGTTAACCATTCATTTAGTGAATTCAGTGATAAAGATATTATTGACAATTAGTAATTTTCTGTATACCTGTTAATAACAACCGAATGGGTTCATAAAAGAAACTTATTCACATTTAGATTAGTGAAATTCTTTAATACTATCAGAAAACTAATAGTTAACCTTGAAAAAATTGATGACCTCCCCCTCCCATAGATACAATATGCTTTGATAGGTTTCCTTAATTTCCAAGCAAAATACTTTTAATAACAACGAGTGTTCTCCCTATTGGTTAAAAAACGGCTTTAAAATCTCAAACGTTATATTGTATATTGCATTTGTGATATAGTTACCTCATTGTGAACGAAGAGAATATCGTATTGAAATATGTGATTTGTTAAGGTTTATATATTTTAAACTTCATCTTGGTATGAGACTCCTCAGTAATACGATGTCACAAATGTATACATGACCTTCATATCTAGTGTGGTGTGTGTTACTGATATTGACATATAAAAAAGTAGTAAGCATCACCAATCGAAAGTGATATGTCTGGCAGCAGAAAATTAAAAAGATTGAAGAGAATAGAACGAGAAAAGAGGGTGATTGGTGTGGAAATAAAGGAACAATCAAATGTGAAACAATTGATTGACATTTTGCAAATGAATTATTTACTTTATGGTTCTCAGATTTTACTAAGAGATTCTCTAATTTGGTTGTCGCAGCCTATATTCTTACTCAGTACACTAGTAATGAACGTGATGTATTTAGATCACTTTTTCCAAGTTCCATGAACTGCATTTCTGATTTACAAGGCAACGATACAGATTACATCAAGCCGCAAACAATTTAGCTCAAAGTATTTGTCACGGTAATAAGCTATTTCAACTGTACAACTTTCGGTATCTGTAGTGATGTTTTGCTTTTATTCTTACAGATAATATTCTATTCCTCAAATATTTCAAATGAAATTGTCTGACAGTTCCAATAGCCCCCAAATGTCTTGGTACGGCCGAGAGTGGGGAGAGTCCGCTCTCCCTCTCCAAATGCTCTTACATGGCCACACGTATATAGCCTCTGCCAGGGAAGTCTTACTCACTGCCTTCTTGATGCGTTCCAGCCCCACTAACTAGAGAAAGAAGTCCAAGTTTGGAACGGGAAAGTGTATTCCGTAAGCCAGAAGCACGAATGAATAATAACAGACACAACTCAAACGTATATATACAGTATAAAACTGTCCTTGGAAAGCGTTGCGAAAATAGCATACTAAAAATACACAACGAAACAATAGCGTTAAAGATTCTCCCAAGTGGGAAATACGACACGAAGGTGAAAAGTGTGCATTTGTCGCGAAAACAAGGAAATTTAAATTTCCAAAACAAAATTATAAAATTAAGGCATTTACCAAGTGAGTTCTGGGGATCTGACATCCCCAACACTTCTCGTGGTGAGGGTGTTGTTTACAAAATTGACAGGACAAAAAGCGAATGTCCAGAGCTTTAAACAGTTTGGTGGAAACGGAGAGTCCACCTGGGGGAGTTGGAAAACCCTCATTCCAAACCTATAGTGCACATGGCCTTCAGTATCCTGAATGGACAAATGGCATATGAACCAATTATTGGTCACCGACTACCATGAGACTGCATCTCCTGACATTGCTCCACTCCCTTATGGATCAGACCTTTAGGTCGAAGGCTCCGGATGTGGCCCCCTAAGTAAACTATTTGTTTCAGTTTGAGCACCCAGGCAGTATCACAGCCCTCACACAAATTAAATGAGATTTGTGTGGCGCGTATTTATATGGTGCCTCCTTGTACCAATATCCATGTGTTCAAATAAATAAATATCTTCAATGTGAGTATAATCTGTTGTGAAAATAAATGACTCGTCAGTGATTCTTTTAACTTTGTTGTCTTAACAAATTAATGAAGAAACCTCTTCTTTAATTCGTTTTTCGATAAACTTTGAAATTTCGTTTGATTTAGTCGATGTTCGATTTGAAGTTAATCTGGCGTTTTTTAATAGCTTAAACTAGGTTACCTAAACCAGCCAATGACAGACATTTCAAAAATTCAAACTACACTACATCATTTCGCTATTGTATATATATTGACGTATTATATTCATGTAACATGTATTCCATCATTTCGTGAAGTTTATTCAAATTTTATCCGTGTCTGAGTCTGTATTTCACTGATTCACCTGACGAAAGTGCAAATTAAATCTGTGTTTACGAAGACGGGTGACATTAAATCATTTACGTTATTCTATAGTACAGTTGAAATTAGATATCTGTTGAAACACTCCAAGCTATGGTTCACGGAAAAAATCAAGTCGAGATAGAGACAGAAACTAACTTACGGTACAGTATAGTGATCCAGTTTTATTATCAAATCACTGAATTTAAATTCATAAATCATTGAATTTTACCTAGGTGATTTAAAGTCTATTATACTTACTTACTTACGTACTTACTTACTTACTTACTTACTTACTTACTTACTTACTTACTTACTTACTTACTTACTTACTTACTTACTTACTTACTTACTTACTTACTTACTTACTTACTTACTTACTTACTTACTTACTTACTTACTTACTTACTTACTTACTTACTTACTTACTTACTTACTTACTTACTTACTTACTTACTACTTACTTACTTACTTACTTACTTACTTACTTACTTACTTACTTACTTACTACTTACTTACTTACTTACTTACTTACTTACTTACTTACTTACTTACTTACTTACTTACTTACTTACTTACTTACTTACTTACTTACTTACTTACTTACTTACTTACTTACTTACTTACTTACTTACTTACTTACTTACTTACTTACTTACTTACTTACTTACTTACTTACTTACTTACTTACTTACTTACTTACTTACTTACTTACTTACTTACTTACTTACTTACTACTTACTTACTTACTTACTTACTTACTTACTTACTTACTTACTTACTTACTTACTTACTTACTTACTACTTACTTACTTACTTACTTACTTACTTACTTACTTACTTACTTACTTACTTACTTACTTACTTACTTACTTACTTACTTACTTACTTACTTACTTACTTACTTACTTACTTACTTACTTACTTACTTACTTACTTACTTACTTACTTACTTACTTACTTACTTACTTACTTACTTACTTACTTACTTACTTACTTACTTACTTACTTACTTACTTACTTACTTACTTACTTACTTACTTACTTACTTACTTACTTACTTACTTACTTACTTACTTACTTACTTACTTACTTACTTACTTACTTACGTACTTACTTACTTACTTACTTACTTACTTACTTACTTACTTACTTACTTACTTACTTACTTACTTACGTACTTACTTACTTACTTACTTACTTACTTACTTACTTACTTACTTACTTACTTACTTACTTACTTACTTACTTACTTACTTACTTACGTACCTTACTTACTTACTTACTTACTTACTTACTTACTTACTTACTTACTTACTTACTTACTTACTTACTTACTTACTTACTTACTTACTTACTTACTTACTTACTTACTTACTTACTTACTTACTTACGTACTTACTTACTACTTACTTACTTACTTACTTACTTACTTACTTACTTACTTACTTACTTACTTACTTACTTACTTACTTACTTACTTACTTACTTACTTACTTACTTACTTACTTACTACTTACTTACTTACTTACTTACTTACTTACTTACTTACTTACTTACTTACTTACTTACTTACTTACTTACTTACTTACTTACTACTTACTTACTTACTTACTTACTTACTTACTTACTTACTTACTTACTTACTTACTTACTTACTTACTTACTTACTTACTTACTTACTTACTTACTTACTTACTTACTTACTTACTTACTTACTTACTTACTTACTTACTTACTTACTACTTACTTACTTACTTACTTACTTACTTACTTACTTACTTACTTACTTACTTACTTACTTACTTACTTACTTACTTACTTACTTACTTACTTACTTACTTACTTACTTACTTACTTACTTACTTACTTACTTACTTACTTACTTACTTACTTACTTACTTACTTACTTACTTACTTACTTACTTACTTACTTACTTACTTACTTACTTACTTACTTACTTACTTACTTACTTACTTACTTACTTACTTACTTACTTACACCTGTTACTCACAATCTGTCATAGGCCACCGAACTACATTCTCCAACCCACTCCGTCCTCCGCCTTCTTTTCTAGTTCCATACAATTCTTCCCCATTCTTCTCATGTCTATCTTCGTTTCCCGGTGTTATGTGTTCTCCGGTCTTCCTCTTCTCCACCTTTGACCTTGAGGATTCCAAATGAGGGTTTGTCTTGTGACGCAGTTGTGTGCTTTCCTCAATGT